ATCAGAGGGTGTGATTCAAGTCACCACCTTCCCTTAGTTACCAACGTTTTATATTTATTCAAATCACACCCTTACTTGAGTCATGCACTTAATCTTCTATGAGATAAAATGAGAGAGAAGCATTGGTGTGTTAGTCTGGGTTGACTAGAGACACAGAATCATAGACACTCATATGTGTATAAGAAAGAGCTTTATCTGATGGTGCCCAGTTATCAGAAAATATAGCGCTGGAGTCTTAAAGGCTTGAAGATAAACAAGCGGCCATCTAGCTGAGAAGCAACAAAGCCCATATGGGTGAAGCACACCAGCCTGTATGATCAAGAGGTGTTTATGGGAGCAGGTATCAGGCATCAAAGACCCAGAACAAAAAACTATACCAACGTGAATGAGGGGGTGGAGGGTGGGGTAGGGTGGAGACATCCCCTCACAGAAGGGTCACAAGGAAGAGCTGAGCCATTTAGGGTGCAGTATAGCATCGATGAAACATACAATTTTCCTCTAGTTCTTTAATGCTTCCTCTCCCCCACTATTATGACCCCAATTCACCATACAAATCTGACTAGACCAGAACATTTACACTGCTGCAGATAAGAGCTGGCAACACAGGGAATACAGGACAGACAAATCCCTCAGGACCAATAGAGAGAATAGAGATACCAGGAGGGTAAGGGGAAGGTGGGGGGAGAAAATAGGAATCGATCACAATGATCGACACATAACCACCCCCCACCTCCAAAGGGAAACAAAAAGCAGAAAAGTGGGTGAAGGGAGATAGCGGACAATGTAAGATATGAAGATAATAATAATGTATAACTTATCAAGGGTTCATGAAGGAGGGAGGGCGTGGAAGGGCGGGGGAAAATGAGCTGATATCAAGGGCTCAAGAAGAAAGAAAATGCTTTGAAAATGATGACGGCAACCTACAAACAAATGTGCTTGACACAATGGATGGATGTATGGATTGTGATAAGAGTTCTAAGAGCCCCCAATAAAATGATTTAATAAAAAGAAAAAAGCTTTATATACAAGAATAATTATACATTAAGAAAACATCCCAGCCCAGTCCAGGTTAAGCCTATAAATCCAATATTAGCCCTTATATCCATTACCAGTCTATAAATTTTTCTTCAGCACATGTAATGACGCTGAATGCAGGAAGAAAGACCACAGGGTGGAAAGTCTTATGGATCCAGTGGTCATGGAAGCATCACAACGCTGGTGTGTGTCTTCATGTGGCACCATCAGCTACAGCTCCATGGGCTCTAGCATAGCTCCATGTGTCTTTTCAACAGGAATGTCTTGCAAGGAGTGAGCAAGCTATTTATCTCCTTTGCACCTCCAAATGAGGTCATCACACTGCGACCTGATTGATAGGATAAACTCCACCCCTTCACTCTTAAGTCTCAAATTGACAACAGATTATGTAACTATTACAATTGGGTAGTGGTTGAAGGAGACACACCACCACCAAGAAAGAGCTATGAGTGGAGTGCATCCTTTAGGCTCAGGATCCTTATGCTGAGAACTTCCTAGACTCTGAAGACAAGCGAACTGTAACACTGGTGATGGCGAGAGACAGCAAGAACCAGTAGCTGAGCAACACTAGCAGCAGAATCAGGAGACCAGTAAGAGACAGCAGCATGGGTTTCCCGGCTCATGGAGCAGGGTAACTAAATGCCTTTGGGTAGAAGGTTTGCTGGCTGAGTGGGCACTTCTGGGTACTTACTGGTAAATTAAAAAGCTTTGTTCCTTCTCTCCTGTCAGCTTGTCATACTTTGGTGACTTGTGTGTTGCTGGAGTACTGGAACCTATGCCTCCAGAATTTCAAATACCAGCAGGGTCACCCAGGGTAAATAGATTTCAGTGCTGTTTTGACGAAGAATAGACTAGGAAGAAGGAAAACATGGCCACTTCTGAGATATTAGCCACTGAAAGCCTTATGAATAGCAGCAGATTATCTAATATAGAAGCCAAAAGATGAGCTCTTTAGGTTGGAAGGACTCAAAATATGACTGGGGAAGAACTGCCTCCTCAAAGTAGAGTTGATATCAGTGAGGCGAACGGAGCAAAGCCTTCAGCATCTTCGTTTGCTGATGGCACACAATTCAAAATGAGAAGAGCCACACCTTTAGTTATCAGAATATGGAATGTTCAGAGTGTGAATGTAGGAGAATTTAAAGTCATAAAAAATGGAATGTAAACATATTGCTAGCCTAGGCATGAGCGATAATGGTATTGGTGATTTTGAGTTGGACAATCATGTGGCTTTCTATGCCAGGAATGGCAAATTCAAGAGGAATAAGGTTGCCTTGATCATCAAAAAGAACATTTAAAAATCAATCTTGAAGTACAGCTGTGATAGGATAATATCTATATGCCTACAAGGATAACCAGTCAGTACAACTATTATTCAAATGTACATACCACTCACTAAATTGAAGAATTCTAATAACATCTTCAAGAAAACTGGGTGTAGTGAGTTATGTACTGAGCTGCTAACCCTCAGGTCTGTGGTTCAGACCCACCAGTTGCTCCCTGGGAGAGATGAGGTTGTATATTCCCATAAAGATTTTAAGTCTCAGAAATTCAGGGTGTCATGTGCTATTGATAAGAATGCTTGGAATGCCCTTTGCCTCCCAGCTCTTTCCTCTATTTCCCTTGAGTGGCAAAACAGGGAGGGTAAAGGGAGAATGGGTAGGAAAGAGGGAACCGACTACATGGAACTGTGTGTGACCTCCTCCCTGGGGGACAGACAACCGAAAAGTGGATGAAGGGAGACGTCGGACAGGGCAAGATATGACAAAATACCCATTTATAAACTATCAAGGGCTCATGAGGGAGGGGGGAGCGGGGAGGGAGGGGAAAAATGAGGACCTAATGTCAGGGGTTTAAGTGGAGAGAAAATGTTTTGAGAAACGATGTACAAATGCGCTTTACACAATTGATGTTTGTATGGATTGGGATAACAGTTGTATGAGCCCCTAATAAAATGTCAAAAAAAAAAAAAAGAATGCTTGGAATGTACTCATCCATTCCAACACCTCCATTGTAGAGGAGACATTGGAGACTCAGGTGGAGGGCAACAAGACCCTGGCATCACAGTTCCAGAGCTCTTCTGGGGTAGGATGACCTCCCGCACAGCCAGGCTTGGGGAGAAAGTTAGAATAACTAATGCTTGGCAGCTCTCTTGTGCCACAGTGACTTTATTTCCCCAGGGCCCAGACATGTCCTTTGATACACAGTTGCACTGAGGAGGGACATCTTGAATAGCTGAGCCAATGGTGTGTGTCTCCTGGAACATCTACGATAAAGGCACCATCCTCAGGGTGGAACCCCGGTGGCCATGACTATCAACTAAGGAGGTCCTGATAAGCCCTCTCCAGCCTTGCTTGTTGTCCTCTGAGATGACTGTTGGAGATGAAGGTATGTTTGAGTAAAGGCAAATTCATGTCTGATCATAGCCTGACTCCACCCTGGGCAAGCAGCAGCTGCTTCTGCCAGCTCTTCCCTCTCCACATGAAATGATTTCATTCCCTCTAACGAGCCCCATTCCTTCCAAATGCAGCACTTCCATATCTTCACTATATTAACTGCTGTCCGCTGCTGATGAGGTGACCCCGATGAATGGAATAAAACTCTCTCTGGTCCTGCGCCATCCCCATGATCAGTTGGGGATCTGGCCATTGTGGTCCATAGGGTTTTCATTGGCTGAGTTGTGCAAGCAGATCACAAGGCTGCTCTTCCTAGTTCACCTTAGTCTGCCAGCTCCTCTGGCACTGGTTCAGCATCACAGCAATGTGCGAGCCTCCACTGGTAGACAGGTGGTGGTCCTGTATGTGCTTCATTGGTAAGGACTTGAACCTGGGGCTCCTGCATAGAAGGTGAGAATTCTCCCACTGAACCACAGCGCCATCTAGTATAAATTCTGGCATACAGATACTGTGCAAAGTTTAATATAATTAGCAAATATTGTTTGGTTAAAGGCACATCCTATACCCTTATGAACTATGGACTGTAGGAATTCAAGTGGTAAGTGGTAGGAATTAAAGTGAACCATCTCATGAGACAACTACACAAAACACGTTTTGTAGTATTAAATTAAAAGTGGCTCGGGGGAGTGGGG